TCAAGGATGAGAAATTAAAATAGCAATTTTGCTCATTTTTACGGAGGAATTTCAATTATATCGACAATTTGAAGTGTGAAATAACAAAATCAACATCATGACGATGGATCTACTGAAGTACAGCAGTTTAATTTATTTAAACATTAAAAATGCCACATCAATTATGGCTGAAGAGGCAAGATCCATGAACTTAAAAGCTTTATAAAAACTTGCTGCTTCATGGCCTAGAATTATAACTTTTGATTGTAAGTGAAAAATTAATTGTGTGAATGTTTATGAAGTATTCACTCTATCCACAGTTTTCAAGCTATTTCAACAAACCATGTATCAAAACATTTTTTTTTTTTTTTTCATTTACTCTTTATTTATCCAGGTAGTCTCATTGAGCCACGAGAACTTATTTTCAAGAGAGACCTGTTTAGGGAGCAGATGGGGGTTAAGGGCCTTGCTCATGGGCCCAGCTCTTGCAGGACAATACTACTATGACTTTTGGTATTGGTGCAACTTTAGCTTTTTTGAAATATTTAGCCTTTTCTGCCATTTGACTAGCAGATGGCCGCTTGTCCTGAGCCTGGTTCTGCTGGAGGTTTCTTCCTTTTAAAAGGCAGTTTTTCCTTTCCACTGTTGCCACTTTGCTTGCTCAAGATGGGAGACTGCAACGAAGCCAAGATTCAACTTGTCTGCTGGATTCCTTAGATAGAGAACTTTACTAAATAGCTTTTTTGTATGTGAATGTTTCTGTAAAGTGCCCTGAGACAACTTTGTTGTGATTTGGTGTTATATAAATAAACTGAATTGAATTGATTTTTTTTTTCTCATAGAAAATGAATTGAGCTCATTTTAAATCCTTCAACTCTTTAGATCTGTTTACAACCTTTTACTGCTCCTTTCACATTTTGTTCTGCCTCAGCTTCTTTCAGCTTCCTTGTGCAAATTTAAATCTTTTTTGACTACTTTCAGCTATTTTTTTAAGTTATTTTGTGCTCCTTTCAGATTTTTTCCCACTAAATACAAAATTTTTGTGATTCTTCTAAGTTCTTTCTGCTAATTTCAGCTTGTTACACTGCTTTCAGCTTATTTCTGCAAGTTTCAGCTTATTCTACCATTTCAGCTACTTTATAGCTGTTTTATGCTAATTTAAGCTTTTTCAGCTACTTCCACATTTTCAGCAAAAATGTCTCCACTTCCTTCTTGTATTTTCATTTTTTTTGTGCCTTTTTAGCTACTATTCAGCTGTTTTATTTTTGCTAATTTCAGCTTTTTTCAAATAATTTCCACTTTATTGTTCTAATTTTCACCTCTTTCAGCCTAATTGTGCAAACGTGTTCTTTCTGATTTCTTCTGCTAATTTAAACTTGTTCTACATTTTCAGCTACATTTTAGCTCATTTTAGCTGTTCTAAGATAAATCAACATTTTTCATGGTAATCTCTACTACTTTCATCTTAAGTAACTTCTTTATTTCTTCTTCCTTTCTAATTCCAGCTTGTTATGCTCCTTTCAGTATAATTATCCTAGTTTAAGCTATTTCAGCTACTATTTAGCTGTTTTATGCCAATTTTAGCTTTCTCAGCTTATTCCACATTTTTTACTCATTTCAACTTTTTTCAGTCTAATTCAGCAAAAATGTGCTCTCTCCACTTCTTTCTGGTAATTTAAACTTTTTTCTGCATTTTCAGCTACTTTTCAGTTATGCTTTGCTAATTTCATGTTTTTTTTTTTGTTTTTTTTACTAATTTCCTAATTTTTGTGCTCATTGCTGTTTATTTAAACCTAATTCAGCCAATGTATTCTTAACTTAGGCTTGTTTTACAATTTCAGCTCCATTTCAGCATGCTTTTTGCTAATTTCAGCTGTTTTTCTGGAAGTTCTTAAGCAACAAGTGTTCACACTGCATTTCCGAAGGAAATTACATTTTCTAGATATTGTTTACAGTAACGTTTTTCCATCTAGTCAATAAACACATCTTTGATTCAGGATATTTTCATCTATAGATGGAATGATGACATTAGACTTGTCATGATAAACAATAAATCAATTAATCGCATAATAAATGAAAATTATCTAATTTTCATTTATCGGCTTTATCGTTTCTTCATGTGTCTCTCTCTTTCTGAAGACACTGGATGACAAAAAGCTCAACTCCGGTGCTCTTCACTGACCCCTCCCTTTCTCTTTTTTCTTTAAAACCCATTTTAACCGTCCAAAGTCACCTTTTTGGATTGTTAAAAGCAGCTAAGCTGAGAAGCTAAGTTACAAGCTAAGCTAACAGGTCGACCTTGGGAAAAAAAAAAAACTCCATCTTGTCGAAGCTCCAAAATTCACTTTTGAAACCTGTGCCTTCATGTAAAAAGTTTTTATCTGCTAAAAGAAGCTGAGAACGTGTTTACTGTTGTTTTTATTAAAATCTTTGTGTGAAAAATGCTATGCTAAAGAGCTCAAACCACACTGAGTGTTCACCATTTTGAGAACCGAAGAGAGACAGCCCATGTCAAGTCAAGGGGCCTCCCTCCCATTTTTCTTAGAGACACGCTGCTCACTCCCTCACTATTCATCCTTCGGTTCAAACAGTCTTATACTGCCATCCAGTGGTTGAAAAAAGGTACTACACTCAAAACAAATAAAATAAAAAACATTTCTTCTTAAATTTGACAATAATGACTAATTATTATCAAATTTTAATCAATATTATTGTTTATTACAATTATTTCTGAGACAATCGCTCAGCAAAATTTGTTATCGTGACAGGCCTAGATGAAATACTAAACTTTGGGAAGTCTTTATCCAGCCAACTGCCAAGCACAAACTCTAGAAAATGTTATAACATGATTGTTCATTATGCAAGCTAGACTAATGAAGACACAGTCAGTATTTAAGTGTTGGTATGGTTGTACTCTGTTGAAAAAATGACCAGTAAGCTCCAGTCATCATTTTTATTTTGGTATTTTAAAATTCAATTTGAGGTGGTGAGACTGTGAGACAAGTTTAATGCTATCGTACAGCTCTGCAGAATTGCAATCCCTGAATTCACAAAGAAATAAATGCTAAAATTATTCATAAGAATGCTTGTAGAGCATTTTTGTTACTTAACCAGTTTGCTTGTGAGAAAAAAAAATATTATTGTTCATACAATAATGTAATGGGCACATTTATATAATATAGATTTTAATATCAATGCAAAAACATTGAGAGGTTTGTAGGATAGGCTCAAGTCATTTTTAATCAACACTTTACTTCATTCCCTAAAACTGGCTGCTATAAACAGTGCTGTAAGCAAAATGTGGACAAAAGTGCAGGATGTTTTTAATATGTGTGCCTGAAGTTGGATTTCTACAACTGATGAAATGAGTTGCAATTACTCGTTAAACAATAACATTCCAGCATATGCCTTGAAACAAGAAGTAGAAGCTTCACTCGTCTAGCATTTGTCTATAAATAGGAAAATATAAACACAGAGATGCTGAGACAGACAGAGAAATATTGACAGAGTTAAGCTGGAGTGTGTGTCTGGAGAATGGAGACACATGGGTAGGCGTATGAATGGAGGGGTGTGGCGAAAGGGGTATCTGTGTGTCCAATATTGCGCTCTGTCAGAAGCTGTAATATCTCTTCCATTTCATTAGCTGCTACATGAATAGACTTGACATCAATCAGCCCCCGCTTGGCTGATTGAAAGAGAAGTGCCTAAGCAGAATCCAGCATCGTAGAGAATCAAGAAGCTAGAAGCGACTGTATAATGGTTAAACAAAAAGAAGAAAAATACAGTCTAGCTGATATGTATTCAAAGTCTGGATCAGATGTACAATTTTTCACCAGACTTGCACATAGTGTCTGCTCAGGTACTCAAGCAGCTTTAAAGAAGAAAACACCATGTGTTTCCCCCCTAAATATTTAATGATATGACTAATAGATAAACTGAGCAATTGGTTGCTCATTGTCTCTTCATTGAAGTCCAATGTCACTCACCATCATGACATACAGCCTGTTTCAATTTCATGACAATGGGTGGCACGCCGTCCCTGTGATGGACTTGCGACCCGTCCAGGGTGTACCCCCCCCCCCCCCCTTCGCATAGTGATTGCTGGACATGGGCACCGGCGACCCCATTGACCCAAAATGGAAGAAGCGAGTAAAAGATAATGGAAGGATGGATGGATGGGTGTCACGCCTTGATAGGTACAAATCTGTCAATGATGCTAACACCGCCCCCCATCCACACAAACACGAGATAACCCATCTCTATCTCTATTGTCTACCTCTTATCCATAGTCGGGTCATGGAAAAAACAGGTCGAGAGAAACCCAGACATCTTTCTCCCTAGCAACACTTTTCATCTCACCCCGGGGGATCCCAAGGTGTTCCCAGGCCAGATAAAATACACAATCCCTCCAACAATTTCTATTAACTGCACTGGTGCTTCCTACCAGTGGAGCATGCCCGGAAAACCTTTAAAGGGAGACGTCCAGGTGGTATCCTAATCAGATGCCAGAACCACCTCAACTGAATCCTTTCAATGTGGAGGAGCAGTGGCTCTACTTTGAGCTTGCCAAGGAACTCCTTACCTTATCTCTAAGGCTGAGCTCAGCCACCTTGCCAAGAAAGCCCATTTCTGCCACTTGTATCCAGGATCTCGGCCTTTTGCTCATGATCCCAACCTCATGACCATAGGTGAGGGTTGGAACATAGACAGACCAGTTAATCAAGAGCTTTGCCTTTCGAGTCCGGTCTTTCTTCACCACAACTGACCAAAGCAACACCCTCATTACTGAGGACGAGGCCCCAATCCATCGATCCATCTCCTGCTTCATCCTACCATCCCTGATGAACAAGACGCCCAGATACTCATACTCAGAAGTCAGAAACCTCATTTCCAGATTACAATTATTTTTAAATTACAACCTACAAATACCAGTATAACTCCTTGCACATCATTAATACAATTCTACATAGCATAGGCAAAGACATTTAAAGTGAGATTCTTCTGCAGTGGTGAATCCTTACCAGAATTAACAGATGCATCTTTGTTGACGGAGGCCAGCACACAGGGAAGTGTCTCACTGGCTTTGTGCTGAACCTTATCATTGGTCAGAAGTTTGAGCTGCTGCGATGTAACTGGTGGGAAGCGATAAAACTGGAAGGTAACATGGATGTTTCCAGGCCAGTCAGGACCAACACCTGCTGTTGGTATTCTGCAGAAAAAAAATGTGGTTTTTAGGTATTGTTTTATATATTCCAATTGTTTATAGTATTATTAAAAGTAATACAGGAATAACATGAATACGTGAATGTGCATTTAATATTCAAAAACCTTACAAATTATGTTTTATTCTAAAGTCAGTTTTGAAAGGGAAGTACGTACTGATATATGTTTGAAAATTATTGGTTAAAAACATAAAATAAAATAAAAACAGACCAGAACTCAAGATGGAAAATTACATATCATATGTGGGTAAAAACTACTAATTGGGTAGATAAACTCAACACTGCTTCTATGATTCAGAATAAGTGGATTTCTTTGTTTACTCTATAAAGCTAAAAGCAGCATGAAAACTTTAAAGACACATTGAGAAGAGGGAGATTTACCTAGAAACCAGTGTATAAATGTGATTTTATTCCAGTTAACACCAAAGGAATCCAGTTTTTGATTAGTAAGACATACTTAGGAAAAAAAAAAAAAGGGTCTCTGAGGTTTTGAAAATTCATATGCAGTGTATTGCTTTTCACACAAATGTCACCCTCTGAGTGTGATTTCACACGCTTGCAAATTTTCCGTGCCACACTTCAGTTTTAACATTTGCCTAAAACGACTCCAGTGAGCTAGCTTTGCATTTATTCAGTGAAAAAGTGAAAATAAACACCTGTTTTGTTTCCGGCTCATGAATACAACTCATTGAATTTTAAAGTATTAGGTATTCAACAAAAGTTTAAAAAGAGGAAACAAAAGACACTCCAAAACAGGCATGATGTATTTAGAGCTACATATGACTAGCAGGATATTTCAATATGGAATCTAAAGGGAACCGTGCGTCATCTCCCATACAATTACGTGCTTTAATTTGTACCGTTAAAGTGTCTGTGATGATCCACTATCAAAAAAAAAAAAATAGAGCATTAATTTCATCCTGTAAACAGATAAGCTTGATAATTATGGTACCTGAGAAATAGAAATGAGTGTCTTTCCACAGGCTTCTAATTTTCCTCATTGATACTGTTGACACAGCAAAAACTGCAGACTGCTATAACGGTTTGTCATAACTCGCCCTCATCCCTCTCGACAGATAATCAAATGTATTTGCAATTAACCGTATGTTCTATGTGGGTTCAGGTAACACTTCAGGTTGACTTGAAGATAAGCAGGAAAACCAAACAAGTTCTCTGCACATCTGAACATAAAATCTGAGAGAACCACACCATTTATTTCAAAATATATATAGTTTGTTTTAACTGTTTTAACTTAGCCGCAGGCTTTAAACATTTGACGTTGAATGCATTCTTACAACCAAATGTCTTTTTCATCTCGTCTTCAGTGAGGATGCGATTAAACAGTAACTCCATGAAATGTGTGGATAAATAAACTCGCAGTAGTATGGTCTTCCTCAAAACTCACATCAAACAGAGAATTTTATGGCATCAGTAAATAAAACAAGATATTTTCCTTTCTTTTATTTATTCATTGACAAGACCTGCTTTGATTTCTCTGCGCTTGCAATTTACGGAGCAAAGTTACACATTCAAAAAGTTTTCTGTTTTTATTTCAAGGCTCTAATAATTGCAGAAGAATATTTGCTGACCCTCAGATTTTTGTTGTTGCAGCAAATGAACACCAATATGATTTTAAAAGTAAAAATACTCACTAATAAAAAAAAAGAAAATATTACTACAGAGCGGGAAGGGGTACAACAGCTGCAGCTTGAAACATGTTTTATATTGCTTGATACTCGTTCTTTTCTTCTCTGTATATTCAAACTCCAAGAATATTATCTAATAGCAACATGTAATTTAAAGATATACCACAAGTGCTTTGGATGACACATTTGTCTTGACAGGTTAGTCATCATATTGATCTAAGTATTATGGCTTCTTCACAAACAAAAACTCTTCAGAGTTACAAGATTCACGAGAGTCTCACGTTTTTGTTTTTTCCCCAGACATTTTGGAGTCTGCAACTCCCCAAGTGCCTGGGGAATATAAAATATAGCCTCAGTGCTGAAAAATCTATTAGACCTTATTGGTTTGCTCTAATTTTCCAATCTGTCAGAGGTCTGTCTTCAGTTATGAAATGCAAAGATGATCTGCTGACAGTTAGAGGTCTTAACTGTAATTCATTAAATCAGAAACTCTGCAATGAGAACAGCCTTATGGATCACATGTTTCTAATAAGCAAAAAAATAAGAAAATGTTAGTGTTACAGCTCTATGCTGATGAGTCTGGGTTAAACCAAATGAATTAAAGGACTGTAGGTAGAAGAACATGAAGAGTGGAGTGTGTAGAAGCCATCCTATAACGGCCCCCGGCCACCTTTAGATCCTGTCAGAGGATGACTGCTCGAATTATGTGATAGGACACTGAATTTATTTATTTATTAACCTTTATTTAACCAGGCAAATCCCATTGAGCTCACAGATCTCTTTTGGAAGGGAGGCCTGGGCCTGAAGGCAGCCTAACATGCATGTTTTTGGTCTGTGGGAGGAAACTGGAGTACCCGGAGAAAAACCCACGCAAGCATTAGAAGAACATGCAAACTCCACACAGAAAGACCCCAGGTCCAACCGGGGATTGAACCTAGGACCTTCTTGCTGTGAGGCAACAGTGCTAACCACTGAGCCATTGTGCTGCCAAGACGGCATTGCATGTTTTTATTTAATTGATATTACTCTGTAGAAAATCGATTTAAATTTAACACACAATAAGTTTTTTGTAAAGGCAAATTCATATTGTCCATGATTCATTTATGGCAGTAATAGTTAACACCTTTTATCGGCACTTGCACATAAAATAAATATGGAAACTAATTGCAGCGGTTTGGGGTTCGTCTTTAATCAACAAATAAAATGCCTAAACAATTAATTTATTTCTCAGTGTAGAAACAAAACCAGAGGCTCAGTGAAAGGAAAGATGATGGGAAACTGCTGTCAAATAAACGACCATTCCAGTTTATTTATAACACAGAATGTATGACATTTCTGGAAACACAAGTGCAGCAATTGTTGGATCACCACACTTAGCTTATCTTAATGTTTAGGCCAAATGTGCAGGGACCATGTTGGGCAATATTCTTTCTGGAGAACAAGATGCTGTAGCCAATCTCAACACCAATGCTGAAGTGTGACAGCAGCACTGTTGGTCTCACCTGGTAAATGCCAAAAACTGAAACACCAGCAGGTTTCCCTGTAAAAGGTCAGTCTCTTCCCGCTGGGGGTCAAAAGGCAGAGGTTCCGTGGGGTCCAGGACTTCTGCCACCTGGCCACTGCAGTCGACGATTTCAGGAAAGCCAGCAGAGAAGAGGTGAGCCAGTGAGCTCCTCGAGCTGACTGAACAGGAACTGGAGAAGGTTAAATTGAAAAGAAAAAAGAAAAAGTCACATTTTCAGAAGATCATTCATTATGCTGAAAAAAAAACTACTTCAAATGTGTTTGTAATGCTTTACAAACAAAATCAGGTAACATATTAAGTCTCTGCTGTACTGGCATCATTAAGGTGATTTGTTTTAAATGGGACAGGAAAAATGACTTGATCTAAGTGGAGCACAATACTCATTTATCATTTTAGATATTTTTTATCAAGCATTACTTCCATGCTAATTCAAGATGTTTATCTTGCAGGAGATAGCGTCAACTTTGTCACATCTTCCTCCCTAACTGAACCTGAATAGCAATATCCGGCTGCACGGATCATAAATGTGATGAAATGATGATTAGACAGCAAACGGATGTCAGCAATATCCATCAAGCAGCATCACTGCGATAATAGTTACGGGGGAGACAGAACGGATGCAGAAGCGCTCCCTCAGGATTTTCAAGCATAATTGCCAGTTATCTCTAATCATAGTGGCCACCTGTTTTTGCACAACTATGGTAACATTCATAACGTATACTTTCAGCACTGACACCAAACACTAGATATGAAAACACAGTGCACAGATGGCTGGCTAAAGTGCAGGCATAGAAAAACGAGCAATAATGCTATCAGAGCGCTAACACTGCCGGAGTCTATTTGGTAAACAGTTGAGCTCACAATGATGGCTTTCTTAAAGAATGAAGCCTTGATCAAACTAATTAAGGTGACAGCAGTGGAGAAGGCAGTCAGTTGTGTTTTTCTTCACAGCTCTGCCAATTTCATGCTTTTTGTTTCTTAATTATTGATTAAAGTTTTATCTTAATTTAGCCGTTGTGGATTAATATTCAAGACGTCTTTTTTTATTTCAAAAGGGTGCTCAGTCAGATATGCGCAGCTACTTGGCTTAAACTTCTTTTAACTTTATTGTTCTTCGCAGAAAAGTGGGTCATTTCACACTGAAAACAGTCAAAAAGATGTTTTGGCTCTGAGTGAAGAGGCAAAGATGTTTCAGCCCACTGAACTGAACATCATGTCTGGATCCAAACACTGGGATTGGGGAACTGTTTCAGTGCCAGCTGCTTATTTACAGAACCCCTGCACCAACACAAGTTCTTGTTTCCCATTTACTGTGCTCATTATTTTGCAAAGTATTATTCCTCATTCAGGCTACCAAATTAACAAAGCTGGCTGCATTTCCACTGGCAGTGTATTTATAAATTGCGAGCTGAATTGATTAAATTATGTCCTACAAACTTGACAGCAGAAGATACCGCTCACAGCTCCATAAAGATTATGAATTTTCATAGCACCAAAAATATGGTTTAGAGAGTGGAATGAAAAAGTTTTACAAACCAGCCTCTGAGCTGATGGTTCAAGCTTGCTGGCATTATCATTATTAATTCTGAGAGTTCAAAGGTTGCCATTTAGCGAGATAGTCAATATTGCACTCTAAATAGAAATGCAGTTAATTATTAGGTTAGTGACTAACTGTATTAGCATTTAGTTCCTGAAAACTGTAGGATGTTCAAATTGGAGCCATGGGTTTGAGCTGATTTATGACCGTTGAAGATCCGGGAGGGTGACTGCACACCTGTATCTGCTGTGTAATGTCCTGACGCATGCTCATTAATCCCGTTAAATAAATCTAACAAGGTTGAGTCAGGTCCTCTGGACGAATGCAATGTTTTAACAAGCTAGCCCATAACTTGGGAATAAATTGTGTCTAAGATCTAGGTAATTACCCACTACTGTATCTGTGCCCCAAACTTCTGAGGAAGGACATGCAAGTCCTTGAGTAAAAAAAATTACAAAAATATTTTTTCGTCTGTTCTCTGGAAATTAGTCTGAGCTTAGTTGGCTGTGTGCGCTGTTAGACTTCGGCTTCTCTCGAGGGTGTAATTTAAGTCTGCAATGATCTCAAAAGATGCAGACCCCATACAGAGAGGGAAAGAGTGGAAACAAGTTTTTCACCGTGCCTCCTAAAATTGGCTGCAGATAAAATATCTCTGAAGAAAAAAACATTATTTTACACTATAATGCTTTTGTAATTTGACTAAAACATTCTCCCGAAAATCCAGTTAACTTATAAAAATAAACTATGAAATGGCTACAAACAAGCATGAGTGATGCGATTTGAAGGCAACCAAGAAAACAGGAATGAAAGTTATCCAACATTTTGAATTTTAAAGCAAAAATGTAAAACAAAACTGAGATTTTTATCATTAAATTATCTTTATTTTTTATAGCTCTAGCAAACAATTTGAGCTTCTCACCTGGGCACATTCATTCCTAAAGTAATAACAGGAGCATGAACAGGGGTGAAGGGCAGCTCCTGAAGTTGGGCTCCTTCATCCTGCATGGACGGTGGCTCATCGGCATCTCGCTGAAGGTCCATTTCCAGGTGGGTGATGTTGCTGACAGCTGAGAAGGCCTAGAGCAAATGCAAGAGGTATGCATTAACTAACAGCACACTGAATTACTGTTTTAATCATGTTTTATTGTTTTAAATTAGAAACAAGCTGTGTTGTTTTTCTTCTTTAATAAGACTGTTTACTCAAATAAAGTGCCTTTTAGAACCCATTAATTAAAAAAAAAAAAAGTCCCTTATCTAATTGCATGCTGATCGGACATATTTTCTGACAAAGGCAGCACTGACAAGAAATGACTCACAGCAGTACAATTACAAGCATATAAAAATCCTAATGAGGTCTGACTTTACTAAATGTAATTGACAAGTGAATGCATACCCATTTTATTTAAAGTTAAATTGGGTTCTGAAGGTCTGGATTAAAGAAAAGAGCCAACAAGAATAACGTGTGCTTAGGATTTGTCAAAACATATTCTAGAAATTGCTTAGTACTCTGACTGCTCCAACCTAAAGCTTACAGTAGAAACGTATATCTTTATTGCACAGCAGCCGTATGTCACAAAGGATATAAGGAGCTTACATTGATCTTGGGTTTGCTTGGTCTGAGTCAATGTCTGCATTGGTTCTTACAGCTCATCTGTCACATCCTGTCCATCAACGTACAAATCTGCTTACTCAGTAATAAACTCAGAAATCATAACATGACTAGTTCATCAGTATACGAGCCAATTAAAAGCTGCAAATTAAAAAAATAAAATAAAATAAAACCTTCAATGCATAGACAAGATGACTTAAAAGTTGCATAAAATATACTATGATGTTTTAATAAAATGACAAGGGAAAAACTAGAGGATGTCAGAAGCACGGGGAGTAATTTCATCATATTCTTTGCTTCCAACAAGTTGTCACTTGGGCTCAAACATTTCTTACATTGCTTTGAGTTTTCAAATTGTAAAATCAACCCTTTTGCAGTTTGAATTTTATGTTTTATTGTTGCTGAATTTTATCTGCTTGATGTTCTTTACTATCACATTTCCATACGGCACACCTTAACATAAAAATGGTTGTGTCTCATGCTTCAACAAGAGAAGAAGGTACAGTCAAGACATAGAGACAGAGTATCTGCTATGATTGTATCAGCTTAGATAATATAGTACTTGTAACAGAGATAGAATGTGAAATTTGTGCTTCCCTATCTTTATATAATCCAGTGCAGTCAGCTCTACTGATCAGCTTTCACTTGATTTCACCTGACATTTTAATGAGGCTTTAATGTACAGCAGGTGTTCTAGCAAAAACACATCACAGTTAACAAAATTGAGTATTTAGATGGATTTCAACATTTCTGACAGCACATTTGCCTTTAAACACTTTACAAATTTCACAAAAAAAAGTTCTGTTTCAAACTAATGTAATTTCCCCAACTTTTAGCCATTAAGCACAAACATGATGCTTTTTTTTTCTCTAAACACAGTAAATGATGTGTTAGACTAAGTTTACAAAGCAGATGTGGATTACCAGATATTCAAACACCGTTAAAGAGCTTATGACAGACTGTGGTATTGTATAAGAATGCTCATGGATTATTGATGGCTTTTTGATAGGTTTGGTTATAAAAGGATAGCAACTGATTTATGGGAACAATAAAACCAGAAATATGAGGCTTAGAAAACAGCATTTGTTAGTAAGGTCAGTATAGTAATATTTTTTTTGTTTTTTTAATCTTTTTATGAAATAGAAAAATACATTTTCTGCACTGTTCCTTGCTAGCACATAATATAGTTCAAAATAAACTTCATATGTAATTTGTTACTGATACAATAGCCCAGTGAAATTTGTATAAAAAAAAAAAATATATATATATATATATATAATTTGTATAATGAAATCACAATCCATGTGTTTCATTCATGGCATTTATGCATTTGTTTTAAGATCGTATGTTCTCACAGCCTGTTGGCTTTGCAGCTTTGGCATGACAACAGTGTGTTACAGAACATTTGTACAAATGAATGAATCACACATGATTCAGTTCAACATTTAAAGTGACCAAAACTGGAAATAAAGCTGTGAGCTGCTCTCCACTTTTTATTTTACAAACCAGGTTTTGAGTACACTGCTACAACAGAACTTTAGGACAAAAACAAAACAAAACAAAAAAAAAAATATATATATATATATATATATATATATATATATATATATATATTTATATATTTATATATTTATATATTTATATTAATAATATTTTAACGCATTGTCACAAAGCCCTAAAATAATCTCTGATTGATAAAAATGCAAATTAGAACATAAATGACAGTTTTCAGTCAGCCTGTGAGAAAGTTTTTGAACCAATAAGCAAGTCCTTAAAATAAAGTCTATCGAATGAGATGCAGTTTAAAGAAACATTTGTGGCTTGCTGGAAACAGCCTTTCAGTGAATTTGTCTCTGAGGAACTATGGTGGTTGTGTAGTTACAAAACAGAGAACATGATCTTTCATAGAGGACATCTCGAACGAACAAAACTACTTTAAGACTTGATGTAAAATTAAGAAGGACATCTATGTGCCTTGCATCTCATATTTAAAAAAAAAACATCAGTCTACAGCATTTTAACCAGTTTCAGCATGCAATGTTTTGTTAAAAATGTTTCTATATAAAAGATGCAATGCATCATATAAAATGTGCAAAGTGAATTTGATAAGCAGAAAAAGACTCAGGGTTAATCCTGGGATTACAGCATTGTAATTTCTCCTCATTCTGAAAGATTATACTGCTATTTTGAATGTAGCACAGTGTTTCCCAAATATATGCATCTTTGTGAGAGAACATGTTTTATTTTAGCAAAGACAAGGCAAATTTCAAAGGCAAAATGACTGCCAGCCAATTCTCAGCAGCAAACACCCACAACGGTGGGGAGCAGGTTACTCCTGCATCATTTCAGGAAATTATTCACCAGAGGTATTAAAATCAGCATGGTACAGCTGACGTCCTCAGCTTTGCTTCAGTATATGAGCTGACTGCTATGATAAGTAAGCATCAGGATGCATTAAGCTTGTTATAAACTTGAGCTCACCATATACTTCCTAATATCAGTCATTATCCCTATGTAACTTCACAGAATTTAATAGAAAATGTTGCAGTGGGTCATAATCCACTTAATTAGAAGGAAGTCGGACAGAATACAAAGCAAGCAAAGTTTTACAACACTGAATATCTAGGGAAAGTTCAAGTAGCCTTTGTACAAAGATGTGAAAAATCAAATAAAGGAATTCTGCTTATTTTATTTATTTAAAAAAATAAGTTGCTTCAACATTACCAGTAGACAGTACACCCACCCCCATGTATGTGTGTGTGTGTGTGTATATATATATATATATATATATATATATATATATATATATAT